AGGCAGCCAATCAATGATTCTCTCTCATCTTTGATGTTTCTCTCTCTCTCCCTCTCCCTCTCTGAAATCAATAAAATATATCTATATTTAATAGCAGAGTGGCTTGAAAAGGTGTGATGTGTGGTAAATTTCAATATCTTTGCTGGGAGCCAATGAAAAAATGCTTTATTGCCGCTCATGTCTCTTTGGCATGTCATGTTCTCAGCAGTTTCTCTTTAAGGCGGCGGTTCTCAACCTGTGGGTCGTGACCCATTTGGGGGTCAAACGACCCTTTCACAGGGGTTGCCTAAGACCATCGGAAAACTATATAATTAAAAACACATATATGATTACATATTGTTTTTGTGATTAATCACTATGCTTTAATTATGTTCAATTTGTAACAATGAAAATACATCCTGCATATCAGATATTTACATGACGATTCATAACAGTAGCAAAATTACAGTTATGAAGTAGCAACGAAAATAATTTTATGGTTGGGGGTCACCACAACATAAGGAACTGTATGAAAGGGTCGCGGCGTTAGGAAGGTTGAGAACCACTGCTTTAAGGGGAATTTAGCTTCCAGACCATTCACGCTTCAGCCCCAGCAGCAGCTCTCATCCCCGGTGGAGTGTTGGCGACTCCTGGGGTGAGGGGCTTAAAAACAATTCCAATGCAAGGACACGCCCCAGGCCAAAGGTATTCGAGCTGTGGCAGATGGGAGCTGCCCAAACCCTGCAGGTGACTGAAATGTGTGCAGCCGCGGCTAAGAACCACCGGGCGAGAGTTCCAGTCCATCTGCGCAATCCGTGAGTGTTGGCGACTCCTGGGGTGAGGGGCTTAAAAACACTTCCAATGCAGGACACGCCCCAGGCCAAAGGTATGCGAGCTGTGGCAGATGGGAGCTGCCCAAACCCTGCGGGTGACTGAAATGTGTGCAGCCGCGGCTAAGAGCCACCGGGCGAGAGTTCCAGTCCATCTGCGCAATCCGCGGTCAAAGCCGGCAGCCCTTGAGGGTGGAAATGATAATCCCGTGGATGACAGTATTGGATTGAAGTCAGCACTTTTTCTTTCTGACCGTGGCTTTCACAGGCCGACAAAACTCTGAGCCTTTGCATCCAAAAGTCATTTAGTTGGAGTAAAGCTTTATGGCTGTTTGCCAACTTTCACATAGGGTGGGGGAGAGGCAATATGAGTGTTAGGGAAATGCCATGATTTCCTTCAGAGCAATGTTGGCATTATTATATTCTGAATCCCCAGCTCCTACGATGGGGCCTGCCATGGAGCAGATGCTCAAAAATGCTAAAATAATTATAGCAGCTGCTGCCGGCTGGTCACGTACTGTTACAGTCACTATCTCATTAGTCTTCAGAGCCACCATATGAGACGGTCCCCTCAGTATCTCCAGGACAGGGTGTGGTAGGCAGCATTCTAAGGTGGCCCCAAGATTTTTCCCCAGTTATGCGTTTTCTGTATTATCTTCTCTGCTTGAGTGTGGGTAGGACCTATGAATATGGATATGACTCCTGATTATGTTACATTATGGCAAAGATGAAGGAATTCTGCAGGTAATTAAGGTCTCTAATCAGTTGACTTTAGATTAATAAAGGGAACTTAGCAAAGATGAAGGAATTCTGCAGGTGTAATTAAGGTCTCTAATCAGTTGACTTTAGATTAATAAAAAGGGAACTTATCTTGGGTGGGCCTGACCTCATTAGGTGAGCCCTTTCAAAGAGGGTTGAGAAGTTATACTCAAGTCTTCCTGGCCTTTCTTTTTTTTTTTTTTTAATCCTCACCTGAGAATATGTTTTTGTTAATTTTAGAGAGAGGAAGGGAGAGAGAAAGAGAGACAGAAACATCAATGTGAGAGAGAAACATCAATCGGTTGTCCTTCTCTCCCCACGCCCCCATGTACCTTACTGGGGATTGAACCCACAACCTAGGTATGTGCCCTGATCGGGAATTAAACCCACAACCTTTCAGTGTTCGGGATGATGCTCCAACTCACCGGGCCACCCAGGCAGAGAAAGCCACTGTCAGTTCTACTGCTGCAAGTAAATGGATCCTGTCAATGACCCTGAGCCTCGGATAAGACCCTGAGCAGAGGACCCAGCTAAGTTGTGCCCAGACCCCTAACCTACAGAGAGTGAGATAAAAGCAGGTGTTGTTTTAAGCTGCTAAGTTTGTGATCACTGGACACATGGCGATAGCTCACTAACACACCCATGAGGGAGTCCTGGTACAGAGAAGCTGAAGGACTTGGCCAGGGATGAGTGTGGTTAGGACCTATGAATATGGATATGACTCCTGATTATGTTACATTTATGGCAAAGATGAAGGAATTCTGCAGGTGTAATTAAGGTCTCTAATCAGTTGACTTTAGATTAATAAAAAGGGAACTTATCTTGGGTGGGCCTGACCTCATTAGGTGAGCCCTTTCAAAGAGGGTTGAGAAGTTATACTCAAGTCTTGCTGGCCTTGCTTTTTTTTTTTTTTTTATCCTCACCTGAGAATATGTTTTTGTTAATTTTAGAGAGAGGAAGGGAGAGAGAGAGACAGAAACATCAATGTGAGAGAGAAACATCAATCGGTTGTCCTTCTCTCCCCACGCCCCCATGTACCTTACTGGGGATTGAACCCACAACCTAGGTATGTGCCCTGATCGGGAATTAAACCCACAACCTTTCAGTGTTCGGGATGATGCTCCAACTCACCGGGCCACCCAGGCAGAGAAAGCCACTGTCAGTTCTACTGCTGCAAGTAAATGGATCCTGTCAATGACCCTGAGCCTCGGATAAGACCCTGAGCAGAGGACCCAGCTAAGTTGTGCCCAGACCCCTAACCTACAGAAAGTGAGATAAAAGCAGGTGTTGTTTTAAGCTAAGTTTGTGATAACTGGACACATGGCGATAGCTCACTTACACACCCGAGAGGGAGTCCTGGTACAGAGAAGCTGAAGGACTTGGCCAGGGATCCACAGTAGGGGGTGGGGGGCAGGTTTGGACCACCAATAGGCGGTCCATCGAGGGTGATATTTACACGTGATTGAACTACCGTTTGCAGGAATGTTGCACAGGGCTGCCAGCATACGTTCCCAGGCTGCTTCCTTCTCTCAATGACTTCACCATTGGTGAACTCAAGCATTATTTAGCACCTACTATGTGTCAGACTGCAGTGGCCAGACTGCAGCCTTTAAGATCTCTCCGAATGTGTGATTCTTCGATGCTCTGAGTCAGATGAGCTCCATCTTGCAAAAGGAAAACAAAACAAAACAAAAAAACCAAGGCACTAAGATCTGGGATGAGATGCACAGAGCCACACAGCATTCTTCCTGAGCCTTTGCTCTATCGACTCTCCTTCCTTTTTCAGTCATTTGTTCTTTTCAGAAGAAACAAACACGAAGTCATGCAGGGCTCACCCATCCAGTCGCGGTGAGCATGGGTAGGCAGGATGCTCGGTTACTCAATATTGGTCTCAGTGATGTGTTTTCCTGCCTCCGACAAATTGGAGCAAACCCTCCCTTTGATCTGCAATCTCCCAGGTCTCCCCAGATACCCTGGAGCAGAAGCGGGTGATAGGCAAGGGCTGTGGTTCACATTTCGTGCAACACGTGGCTTTCTGATTGGGGAGTGGCAGCAGGTTCTTCAAATACAGTCACCCCGCTATTCCCTGCACAGAGATTCCAAAAATTGCTGTGGAAGCCCATTTCTTTTTGAATATTTCTGAAAATCTCTCTCTCTCTCTTTCTCTCTCTCTCTCTCTCTCTCTCTCTCTCTCTCTCTCTCACACACACACACACACACACCACTCCACTCCACTGCCAATCTTTACATCTTTTTTAAAAATATATTTTATTGATTTTTACAGAGAGGAAAGGAGAGGGATAGAGAGTCAGAAACATCGATGAGAGAGAAACATTGATCAGCTGCCTCCTGCACACCCCCTACTGGGGATGTGCCCACAACCAAGGTACATGCCCTTGACCGGAATCGAACCTGGGACCCTTGAGTCCGCAGGCCGACGCTCTATCCACTGAGCCAAACCGGTCAGGGCCAATCTTTACATCTTATGTGCATGGATCTTTCCTGCCAGGATCTCTTGCCCAGCACAAGCTCTGTGGGTTCAGGGGTCTCCTTGGGCACTGAGGGCCAACCGCCTAGGGCAGCTGGGCATTCCACAAGCAAGCAGGCCCACCCACTCAGGCCGTCTTTGACGTCGTAACGTGCCAGGCCTACAAGATGTAGCGAGAGCAACTTGGCAGCTGTGTAGGACCGTCTGACGCTGGTCAAAGCATCTGTTGGAAAACTTGCTTTGTAATTTCCTGAGCCTTTCTGGGTCAGAAGTGGGTAGGAACCCCCCAACTGGAAGAAAATGCTAATCATTTTCAAGTGGGAGGAAAATAAGAACCAGATGAGCTCACTTGGGTGCAGACTGTGGATTTGGAGCTGCAGGCTCCCACAGCCCTGCCCTCTCGGGGAGCCAGCACGGACATCCCGAGGTATTGATGTGGTCCAGACTGGACCGTAAGTGGGAGGGGGCGGTGCTCCAGTTCACCCTCCCCCAGCATGGCTCTCTGAGGCTGGAGACGAGCTGGGGAATGGAATGGGCCCCTGAATGCGTTCCCTGCGTGAGTCTCTTTGACCTTCTTCATCAATGTCATCCACCGAGGCATTTTCAGCACCTGGAACAGTGCCTGACAGAGAGTGGGTGCTCAACAAAGTCACTGAATGAACAGACGACTCCATTTCTGTGTCCTCGCACTCTCTGCAGTTCTTGTCACTTAGCTGCCTTTGTGTAAATGGTTGCTTCAGGAAACTAAGGTAACT